CTGTTTGCACCAGGCAGCATAGCACGGAGCTGGGATCCTTGTTGACTGCCATTGCCTTGCTCGCCAACATGACTGCCTACGATGCTTGTATTCTCTTGTGCCATGAAGCGCGCAAGCGCAACGTGCTCTGCACAGCCCTCGCGTTGCACACCACGCACCTGGCTGACGTTGATGTCGTGCTTCGGTGTCTGGCTCCTGCGCTGCCTGCCGAGCTGTTCACGTTGGATCTCAGTGTCGGCTTGATGTGCCGCGCGCTACCTGCATCTCCACCCTCCTTGCCACCGTGCGGTGCGCATGTGCTGGTTCGAGATCTGGAGCGCCAGTGGTCAGTTGGCTACGCGCAGCTCTGTACCATGGCTGTTTCGTCGACTTCTGCGCACACGCCTTTGTCCCTTGCGCAGTGGCCTTCCTTCTGGTCGAGCCTGGCCTGTCTTGCTCCTCAGATTGCCGTCCTCCTGCAGGGGCTAGCTGCAAGTCTGCGTGCTTGCTTTGGGGACGCAGTCTCGGCGAGGGACTTTTTGCGCCTGCTTGCGCAGCGAAGGCCCTTTGCCTTGCCGACCGGCGTGACTGTGCTGCACACGTCTTCGTCCCAGTGGATGCATGTTGACGCTGCCGGGTGCCGCTACATGTCATCCCCAGACACCGCCGGCTCCTTTGCGTACCTCGCCTGCAACAGCTTGGGCGTGTGGGCTTGCTTTCTGCATAGTCGGCAGTCTACGAGCTCAGGCGGCTTGGTTGGCGCACTGGGACGCGCCGTCTCTCTCCGAGCATAGCAACTCGGCCGACTGCTTTTTCTCGTCTTTGGGCTTTCGGAGAAGCACCCTCGTCACGCGTGCGCTGCGCCGTGCTACTGGTCGTGCTGCAGCGCACTTGCGGCTGCTCCGGTCTGCGTGCTGCTATGTTCGTTCGCAGGACATCCAGGTCTTTGTCGACGTGCTGCCCGATGTTTTTCCTGCTGGCATTTGTGTTCTTCACTCACAAGGGTTGATGTTACACTTCCTGCCCGGCACGGAGGTAGCAGCGATCTTGCCTGGCGGCTTAAGTGCCTGCCGCCTTGCTGGTGTACTCCCCAGCCTCGTGTTCTACGATGAAGCGCAGCAGCACTTCCAGTCTGCAGCGCTGTACGTAGAAGACGTGCTCACAAGGACAGGCAGCTGCGCCTGCTAGCATGCTGTGCTGCAAACGCTTCATTCAGATCCCACATCCTCTCCTGGATTCCTGGGTGTCCACCCTGGCTGGGGGCATGCCGCCCAAAAAGACGTTCACTGAGAAAGACATACAGCAGGCCTTTGAAAACGCCGAGCAAGTCCCTTTTCCAGCCGCAGAATTTGCGGCGTTGGTGCCTGCTGTCATGCAGCACTGCGAGCTGGTGGCTGACACCTTGTCGGTGCCCGTCTCCTGGGTGCTGCTGGCGGAGATTTGCACGGCGTCCTTTCTTGCGCCAACCGCGTGCCTGCTGGCGGAAAAAACCATTCCACTCTACACCATGCCATGGGCATTCATCCTGCGACCCAAACCAGCGGGCTCATGGCTTCTTATAGTCGCGCCATGCGACAAATCGAGCTATGGGACCAAGGAAAAAAAGCCAAGGACGATCACACTCGTGCCACGCAAGCATTTCGCCAGCAGCAAGGCGGCGTCGTACCTCAGGATGGCGAGCCGGAGCCCCAGGTCAAAAGACCACGCTACGTTGCTCCAACGCCTATGCGCATGGGCTTTACTTCCGGTTCGGTGGATGGGGTGATCGGCCGCATGTCAGAGCCACAAAATCTCTCTCGTGCGGCGGCGTTCTTGTCTGAAGGCTTGATTTTCCTAAGCTGGGTTTCAGAGTCATTACACAGTTGACGGATCGATTGCTGTGGGACAAAGTCACTGTGAAGGCCAGGGTTGGTGCTTCTTGTGTTCTTTCTGTTTCGTGCTCTGTGCTTGCACGCCTGTTCCTACATGTCTGCAGGATCGGACGACCGTGCTGGTTGACGCCCCTTTCATCGGAGTGTGTGGTGCTGTCCACATGGAGGAGCTGATGGCCGCTCTTGGAGAGGACGATCCTTCGGCTGAACTTGCACTGTGTGTCTGCGTGTTGTTGCGATGTTAGCGTCTTCTTCTGCCGCGCACTAAGGATCCCCTGGGGCTGCGCTAACGTCTGCTCATCATGTACGATCATCCTCGGTTCGTGCGTTCCACGCAACTTCGAGAGGCTTGCGGCAGGATCCCAGGCAACACCTTGCATGGTTTCCTAGCCGCTGGCTTCTGGGAACTCCATTCCTGCCATCACCCAGGTCACGATCCTGCCCGTTTTCAACGCGATTTGAATTACTCCTGGCTTTTCTATACTTGGGATGAAGATGCTGCAGCAGCCTTTTGGGACAACTTCGACGACAAAGCCGGAGAGCAGGAGTCGTCGTACAGACTCGATCATCAGGCCGCCAAGAAGGCTGGGAAGCAGAAGACTCGTCACTTTCGTCTAGCTCTGCCCTTTCACAACTTGATGCAGAAATGCAGCGGCGCCACTGCAACTACGTGGTGCACGCGCGTGCCACTGGCGGCGGCGCGAGCAAGTGTCCTGTTCAGCCGGTATATGGACGACGTGTTTGGGCATCTGGATCTGCTTCGCTTGCCAGGTCGTTCCTCTGCTTCTGCAGGGCCTGCTGGCGAGCCAGCTTCTGCGCCAAGCTCTTCAGCACCTTCACGTCGTAGACCGACGCAGGAACAATCCTTGCGCGCTATCCTTAGCATGGCCACTCCTCGCTGACGTCAACTTCGAGCACCTAATGGTGTTGCTGAGGGCAGTCTGCATGTCGCAAAAGTCACCTTGCTTGCGAGGTTCTGACGTGGGGCATTTGCGACCTGTTCTGGGCTTGCATCTGACACCGGCGCAGATGACTTTGCTGGTGCCACGAGCGCTCCGACTGCTCGACATGCTTGGCTTGGGCACGGCCACGATCAGCACCAACGCGACTGGTGCCAAGCTCATATGGTTCGCAAAGCGGCCGCGAGAACAGGCTCCGCATCCCACCCTGCAAGGCTCGCTGCAGCTCCTCGGTGTTGTGGAGTCTTTTCACACCTTGCCACACGAGGAGCTTCGCACGCACCGCAAAGCTTCCCAGGCGGATATAGCATTTTCCGACTTGGGCGCTGCTACAACACAGGCATCCATCGCAGCCGCAGTTGCTGATCTGAGAGCTGCAGTGCCGCCTGCTAGATGAGATGCTTCCGTAGGGTCGTGAAACTGCCACGTGATGTGTGAAAAGCGTGCGAGTGTGATTGCCAGGTTCCTATTCGCGTACAGGCTCAGGTGCTCGCGAGACATGCTAGGGGAGTCTGAGACGCTGCGGGCTTCTAGGAAGGATGTTGCTGTGGGGATGCGTCGGGCGCGGGAGTTGCACGTCTTTTCGAGCGAGCGTGACTTTGCCAGCTTGCTCTTTCACCAAGGCCACACAAGGGAGGTTCGCGTGCAGGCTCAGGTGCTTGCGAGATTTGCTAGGAGAGTCTGAGAAGCTACGGGCTTCTAGGAGGGATGTTGATGCAAACATGCGTCGGGCCTTCTAAGAAGGATGTTGATGTAGGCATGTTACAGCAGCGCTGGAGTAGCCTAGCTTCTTGCTTTGCGCCGCTGCGGGAGTTGCGCGTCTTTTGGAGTTGGGTGTTTTACTTGGTTGGAACTTCTCTTTGTTTGCGCCTCGCTTGCGCAACAACAACGCTACGGTGGTGGACCGGCGAGAGCAAGAGGGTCTTGTGGGCAAGCATGTCTCGAGATGGCACATGTCTTCGGACATGATTCTTGGTTTAACCGTGGCCTTTGTTTGCTTGCGCTGACCTGGCTTGCAAGCTCGTGGCTGTCCTGCATCTATCAATGTTTGGAGGTCTTTATCGTAAGGATAGCTGGTGATGCCAGATTGTTGTCAGTTGAAATCCTTTGAAGCATGTTTGCCGAGTTTCGATATCGTCACGCGATCCGCCGACGTCCGCTTGTGTTGCCCTTCCTCCCCGACCCCGATCTATATTGGTGAGTTTTTGTCTTTATGTCGTTTGCTAGGTGTTTATATATGTATATTTATATATTTATAAATATATAGATCTAGAAATCAATAAATATGTATGTCTATATATATATGTTATTTTTGGTGGGGGGGGACTTATTGTTCGCGGGGGGGGGTCGAACAACAAGTGGGGGGGGGGACTTGTTGTTGTTCGCCGGGGGGGGGGAGTTGCACGACAAGTGGGGTGGGGGGGGGGGGACTTGTTGTGCGGGCAGGGTCGAACAACAAGTGGGGGGGGGGACTTATTGTTCGGGGGGGCTCGTTGTTTGGGGGGGGGGTTGAACAACGGAGACTTGTCGTTCGGGGGGGGGGGGCTCGCATAACAAGTGGGGGGGGGACTTGTTGTTTGGGGGGGGGGTCGAACAACAAAGTGGGGGGGGGGGGGGGGGGGGTTGTTGTTGTTCGCCGCGAAAAGGGGGGTGGGGGGGAGTTGAACAACAAGGGGGGGGGGGGGGGAGGTTGTCTGGGGGCAGGGGTCGAACAACAAGTTGGGGGGGGGGGGGGTTTTTGTTTGGGGGGGGGGGGCGAACAACAAGTTGGGGGGGGGGGCTTGTTGTTTGGGGGGGGGGGTCGAACAACAAGCCCGGGGGGCGGGGAGGCCGGGGAGGACTTGTTGTTGTTCGCCGGGGGGGGGGGAGTTGAACAACAGGTGGGGGGGGGGGACTTGTTGTTGGGGGGGAGGGGGTCGAACAACAAGTGAGAGGGGGGGGGGGACTTGTTGTTGTTCGCCGGGGGGGGGGGGGCGCGGGGGGGGGGGGGGTCTTGTTGTTCCGCGTTTTCGTCGAACAACAAACCCCCCCACCCCTGCTTATCGAAGCGGTCTCGTTACGCAGGTGTTAGTCTTCCATTTGCCAAAGCACCCCATTTTGGGTAGTTAGTCTTTGGTTGCGTGTGCCATGCCATTTGGGTACATGTTATTGAGCCACAGCAATCACTCTCAGAATTTTCGCCCCTTGCCAGGACCTTTGGCGCTACTCCCCGGAGTTGGGCAACGTGGCCTTCGGTTCTGCCGTGCATGGCTGGGCCTTCCGCCTGGAGCGCGGGATGGGGGCTGCGGGCTGCGGAAAAGGTGAGACTTGCCCTCGGCACCTAAGGCACGTTGAGCCCGAAAGCCCCCCAAAAACAAAACACAAAACCCTCAAAAAAAAGCAACAAGCACCTTCCAGCAGGTCCAAGGAAGTACTTTGACCCCTTTTATCCTTCAAACAAACATGTCATTGAAGGGTACTTGGACTCGCTGAGAGGGGGAAGTTGGTAGAATTTGGTACGCAAGGCTTGGATAAGTCTTTGATGCTTTGGCTGACGTTGCCGTTTCTATAGCTACCGCGCTTCTGCAGCTGCTCATGTTCCGGCTGAGACTACCGACTGTGGCTTTCAATGATGCAAGGATTTACACGTGTGCATTGCAGCGTCATCCATCAGTTGATGTCAAGTGACTTTCCCGTCCATGGGGTCAGCTTTTCAACTCAAAGCATCAGCACATTGCACAACGTGGCATCTGATGTAAAGCGCACTTGCTTCATTCGATTCAATTGCGGGGGTCTTTGACATTTGCCTTCCAGGATTCCAGTTCCTTTCTTCTGGTGTATCCTGGCCATAGGATGTGGCTCAATCTCTGGTGACGGTACATCTGGCCAATACATTCGGTGGCTTTCTGAATGTCTTCCTGCGAGCCACATCAACATTTCCTCCGAACCAAGACGCTGATGATGTCAGATTGCAAAAAGGTGGTTGTCATCTGTTCAGATGGCCCTAGAGTGTCCAATTGCATAGTTTCGGCAACGCTGCCGCAGCATTCAAGACAGGCACGAAAACAAGTCATCTTAATTGTTGCGGCCTTGAGGTGATTGATGGGTACTGAGCAAGGTATGAAGCAAGGTTCGCGAGGATCCTTTTTCCGGGGTGTGGGCTCATTGGCAGGACACCTTCGCCTCGATGTGGGCAGAGAAGTTGAAAGTGCCACTCTTGCCTGCAAGATGTTCATGTTTGTGAAAGTTGGGGTAGGGCCACTGTCTGTGATTCCATGGGAATTCCCGTAGAGCAAAAAAGAAAAGGTCATGGGGATGGCCCATGTTGGTGTCACAAAAAGAGGGTTTCCACATTAGGATCGTGAGATGACCGAGTGAGCTGATTTGAACGTTTTGCTTGTTCAAGCCGTTGGCGTCTTCGAGGACGAGCGGGTGGTTGATTGATAGCTGAAGCATGTTGGCGCCTTGTGTGGCCCGCAAATGCTCGGCTGCGTTCCGAGGCGTTTACACGAGTTGGTTTGGTAGAGTTACAAGGGCATGGTCTCTGTTGATGTCTGGCATGCCATTTAGAGTTTCCCTATTGTTGGCAACTCCGGTATATTCGGGAAGGGCATCCTGCACGCTGTGCACGGGTCACTTTGCAAGCTTCGACTCCGATGCATGTGCCTCGAGTCGAGGACTGTGGTTATACATGGCAAGACTGCGAATGATTCTGTATCCGGGTTGCACTGTGAAACTGCTTGATGACATTTAAGAAGACTATGAGGGGCGAAAGAACTACCAAGAGTTCACTCCTATGATGCCTAAACATACTTCACTCCTACGATGCCTCGAAACGGTTTGGCCCTACCCCGCACCCTCCCATGATTCGTAGGCTCTTCGGACCGAGACTGCCTTAGGAAGTCCGAGAACCTTCAGCGGGTCCTTTGGGGCGACTGGACTTACAGGCCCAAGGACGGTTGGAGCTCTTCCGATGCGTTCGGCTCAAACCGGCCGTGGCTCAAAAAGCTGGCACCAACATGGCCACCTCGGTAAATGGAAGTCTAAAGCCTGCGTAACAGCTCTTGAACTTGGAGCCACACCCAAGCATCAATGTTTCATGAGTAAATCTAAGGAGTGGCATCCCAGTTGCAATTGGGTGGATTCCGCTTTTGTTGTTCAGCTTTCTTTTGGGAAGGGTTCCGATTCCTTTAAGGTTGACCAACCAACACAGGATGCCGATCTGGAAATCCACTGGGCATTTGAGGCATGTGTTGCTCGGTTTTGTTCACTGGAGGGCGCAAAACTTGTACAGTCCCTGCCGCAGTTGTGTTTGAAGTAGCAACACGTTAACATATCGGCTAAGCGGATGAATCTAGAAGGCATTCATCTCTTGCTCCCAAGTACAGTTTCTTGAGCATTGTACGGCTAGCACTTGCATTGTGAGGCAAAACATCAAATTTCACCCGGACATAAGGGACCCTTACAAAACAACTTGCCCCAGGTCTCTGGCAGAAGCTGAAGTTGTTTGCCGCATGAGAGCTTTGTCCTTTTGTCCTTTTACTCATCTTTGCGCTGACAACCCCTTCGGGTGTCCTTTATACCAAGCTTGGGCAGTTTTTGAAGGACCAGACCCTGCCCCCTTAGGGAAACCAAACGGTATCGATTTCGGTTATTTGAACAATGAGGCTCCATGTTAGCAGGTTGAAACATTTCTAAGTTCGAAGCGGGCGGTGGTCTTTCAACGCCAGGACAAGAAGGCCGTTCGGAGGACTTCGGATTCGCAAGCCAACACCATCTTCGCCAGTCTCGTGATGAAGCCCATCTGCGACTTCTACGACTCGATCTACATGGACCTCGATAAGGACCGTTGCTTGTTCAAGGAAGGCTCTTTGGGAGGGAGTTCGAGGAGTTTTGGCGCTTTTGCTTCTGTAGAGGGACAAGATGTTGGTGTACAACATTCATGGCGGCTTCGGCTCGTGTTGAGTTGCATCAGGCCAAGGACAATCAGCCGATACTTTTGAGGTCCTGGTTGCGAGAGGGAACTCCGGAGATGCAAGGGGGCCCCCAAGCCAGAAAGGTGTGGAAGGCGTTTAAGACGAGTCTGGTGCATCAGGTTATTGTGTCAAGTACGAAACACACGGCGCGCTGCTTGTTGGAGCTGTGATACGCTGGTCAGCTTATCGCAATAGTATTTTCCTTCATCATTTTTGACCTGATGTGTATCGGCCAGTTTTATCCAACCTGGTTATTGGTATTCCGAGTCTGCAAGAACCTGACCCGGATTACAAGCTGGCAAAGCCCACACATGGATCCATCGTGGAAGCAGTTTGGAGTTTGCAAACATTTGACTCCGAGAAGTCAGCGGAAACAGCATTAGATTGAATTGCTATTGGCTACACCATGAACGGATGGCCGTTGATATGTGTCCTTCTTTGGGACAACGAAGACGCAGAGTTCCCCGCCTTCGGTTTCGCCCCATGGGTCGCGCATGTCGCCTTCTCGCCGAGGTTTGACGGGCATGAAGAAGCAGATCCAGGCTGGGCTTCCAGGGTGCGGGGCAAGTGCATCACTCGCGCGGTTCCGTGCCAAGGAAGTGAGAGACATGGGGGCCATAGGTGTCCTTTTTGGTTGTTTTGGTAGAATAATAGATGGGTTTCGATTATTGGTTTACCTAGTGGTTTAATTGTCTACCAGGGATATCCATCTATTTCCCCTAAGAGGACACCCATGATGGGGACTCGTTTGCTCTACTGACAACTTTCCGCAGGTATTCGGAGAACCACTGGCAGGGTCTTGAATAAGATGAGTGAGCTGAGACAAACGGCTTGAGTGAGGCCAAACAACGTTTGTCGCAGTGCCGCTTTGGCGAGGCATGGGAAGACGTGGATGTCGGGAAGCTGTCAGCAGGCGAGGACGTGTTTTGCGCGCGTGTGTGTGCGATGCCTGGCGTTCAAGACTTTCTGTCCCAGGTTTGGACGTTCAATGCTTGCCGTTCAAGGGGCTGTTGGGAAAGCCTTATGTTCTTCCCGTGATCATATTTCAAGATCTAAGCAGAATCCCAGGCGCCACAGCCACGCGGGAGCTGGCATCCAGGCATGGTACGTGGGTCGCCGGCTTCGCCAGTATGGCTTGCCCGTTGGTTGCCAGTTGTTGTTTGTTTTTCTCTGGAGAAGGTATGAGGTTAAACCTAGGCAGAAGAGGTGCATGTTTTTGTGGCTCTACGATGGCACATGTAGTTGGACTGTTATTTTACGAAGAATGATGGTATGTGATGATCGTTTTTGAGCCAAGCTAAGTACATAGTTGTTGGAGTGGAACAGGACATAACAGGACGCGCTCCCGCAAATGGGAGCATTGTTTTTTGAGGGTACCCTTTTCAGGTTAATTTAAGGGGAACCCAAAAGGACAATCACTATTTTGGGGGTCACCCTATTTTCTATTTGACACCTACCCACATGTGGTCGCTTCATGGATAAGCTACATCTTGGATGACAAGCGGCAACTGCTAATTCAAAGCGATACGTTCTCTCCAACAAGCAGACAAGTTTTGGAATACTACTTTTCATTTGGCAAGAGTGCACTTCCATGCTTATTTTAGGTAGAGCACCTGCTTTTCTGTAAAGCAAACCGCCCTTGCCACAATAGTTGGCCTGTTGGTGGCAGCTGCTTTCGTTCAAAGGATAGCACCAAACGAAATGCACATCCAACACCTCATCCGCAGTTAATTCGCCGCCTTTTTGAAAGTGCCCTGTGTTCAAGTTGGATGAAAGGGAAATGAAGCATCAAATCCACCCATGTTGGGGGTCCACAATAAATTGTCTTCATTGACATCCCCGTGGGTGCCCGTTTTTACACGTTTGGGCCAGCTCCTGGTTTTGCCACACACCCGGAAACGCACCAGGTCAACCAAGTTTGGGGGGTCCAAATCCCCATATTCGGGGGCCGAGATTCCTGACAGAGATCCCAGAAGAACCTACTTGAACTCCGGGGGCCCACTTGCCCTTGAAGGCTTGGGGCATGTCTAACCATTGCCCTTGGACTCCGGTGCCCTTTTACCGTTTCTTTTTTGAGGGGAGGGTTCCCCTAAAATAGACCACAGACACAAACAAAAAACATCGGGTACCCTCCCTTATTCAACCTCTCTGCTGGAGGACCTTGTATACCTCTGGGCAAAAAAACAAGGCGAGGTCGCTAGGGGACAAAAAAGAGGCTTCTATTGAGGGTTCCCTTAGTTCAAGGTAACCTCCTTGGACCCAGAGGGTCCACTTCCCCTTGGGTCGTTTCTCTAGGGGTACCTTCTCCATTCTTTCCAGGGATCCTTCTTTCTAGAAACCCTCCGGAAAGGGAAGACGGCGGGTTTTAGGAAAGAACGATGGTTGAAAAGGATGAAAGAGGAATCAACCCCTAGAGAGTTGGTGACTTGAAGCGATTTGAAAGGGATATCAAAAGGAGAGCCACCAGTTTGGGATTCCCCACTTAGGAAAAAGCGGGGATTCCGTCTTTTTGAGGGTTGTCAACAGGGATATCAAAAGGACCACCGTCTTTTGGGGTTTCCCATTTGGAGAATGTACAAGGTTCAGGTTTCAAGGCGAGCTTAACCACGCTAATTTGAGGGTTGTCAACCGGGAATCAACCAACTCGAGTTTCAGGTGGCTGCCCTTTGCGGACTGCATCCTGCGCATGGCCACGGAGCATCTGCCCAGCCCGCTCAGCGCGGCGGAGCAGCGGCTGCCGGTGCTGTGCCCCAAGTGGCGCCTGCGCCGAAAGAAGAGAAAACCAATCTTTGGTGCACTTTGCTTGGATGTTAGGACTTTATGTTTTTGCCAACCGATGGGCTTTATGTTAAACTTATTTCATGTAGCTGAGGCGCTTGGTTAAAAAGCTTTGATGCAGCCGCTAAAAGAGGAAAGTGTTGGTATGCACGCCCAGGTTTGCCCCAAGGCTTGCCCTCAAGATTTGCCCCCAAGGCTTCCCAAGGAAGGTGTTCATCAGCATCCAGGTCCCCCAGAAGTGCCCTTTTACCTTTCTTTTTTGGGGGGGAGGGTTCCCCTACTAAAATAGACTACGGAAAAAAGTAGGGTACCAACTTATTCTAACTGAACCACTGGAGGACCTAGTTGTTTTGCTGTGGGTGAAACTCGTCATCCGCATGCTTGCGAAAAGTGAGGTTTGCCCCGAAGCCGATCTCCCACCCAATGGTGGAGGGCTTGCAGAAGAGCGATCCAGCTGCCACGCCGGTGGCCTACTTGGCCAAGTTCCTGGCTGCGGATTTGGAGAACTTGGTGCTGACAGGCGCACCTGGACGTGTCTCAACATGGGTTTGTTAAACATAGGCGTTCAATCGAGATACGCTCCAAAAAGGGCACCTAAGGTTGACAACCCATGTGGGTCAACGTGGAAGCACATTCATATATAGTGGCATAGGAGCGGCTCGCGGGATGGTAGTGCAGGAAGCCAAGAGAAGAGCAACCAATTCTGATGTTTAGACATCAGCTTTGTTGGGATCTTGCCTTTGGCACACTGTGCCTCCGCAAAACTAGTTTGCTTGTCGTATGCCACTTTTGGAGTGATGCTTTCCGGACAGGTCATGCACCGTACTATACCTCTTGAAGACGCCCTTTGAACTGAATGGGTGACAGAATGGCCACTTCTATTCGAGCGATGACTGCTTGATGCCCATAGCACCTGAACCTTTGTCTGTGCAGATAGCCGCAGGGACACTGCAGAAAGCCGCGGACAGCGACCTGCGCTGTGCGTTTGATGGAGACAGCTGGGGCGTGGTGTTCTATTGAGCGCAGGTATTTGAGCCACGCTGAACAAGTCATCAATACCATACCCTGGTATGGACCATATGCCAAGCTTGTATGATCGAGTTCGTGTCTTCGGTGTCAGGCGATACTCCCAAAGGCGAGCAAGACGTGGACTTCGTTGGCATTTGCAGGGTGTTCTCCGGAAGCTTGGCTATTCAGTGTCTTTTGCACACGAGGATAAACAACATGCGCTCGTTCATCGTGTCCTGCAAGTGAAAGACACCCAGTGTTCAAATCAAGCCTTCACAATACGATGTGTTTTCAGAAAGATGTGACAATTGACCGCGCCGCACCTGCCACACAAAAATCAACCTTAAGTCTGACCAAATTGGCCCGCTGCTGTGTGGTTGCTACACAGCCCTACGAGGGCGAAACATTTGTCCTCCTGATGTATGCATTCAACAGCAAAAGCCATCCAAAACCTGCATGGTCACCTGACCGGATTCGAGCCACCCATGATCCATCCAAATCATGAGTTGCTGTGCGACGGGAGAAGACATGAAACCAAAGTACTTTGTCCTAACAACATAGATTGGACATACTACGTATGCATACATAATGATAAAGAGATGCGTGCAAACTATTCTGGAGTTTCACTTCTTGCTTATGCGTGCATGGTTTCTCTCCGTAGTTTTCTCTCTCTCTCTCTTGCTCTCTCTCTCTCTCTCTCTCTCTTTCTCTTTCTTTCCATCTCATGTTTCCCGTTTTGTGAAGTCATCCTGTGCTACCTGATCCTTTGCTTTGCTGAGCTGCTTTATTTCACAAATAGTCCTTGACACACCAATGCTAGCCTGGCCGTTCAGATGAATACATACCCAATCTCAGATCTGCAGGTGTTGTGTTCGCACATCGTTTCACTTGCATCCCACCATGGCGGGGCAGGCCGGAGCCAAAATGCTGAAGAGCCCATGGCTGTTCTCCGACCCAGACTTGCCTGTCTTGGGATTCCCTTTACAATCCCCTAGATCCCTTCATCATTTCAAACAGTTGGAACTTTTCTGGCCAGTCCGGACAGGTTTTGCACTAGTCCCCCTTTACCTTTTTTGCGGGGGAGGGTTCCCTTACTAAAATAGACCACAGAAAAAAGTTGGTACCCAACAATTCTCACCTCCGCTGGACTGCCGCGCTTTCATTCCGAGGCACCTTGCGCCCGGGGGCCGAGCTGTACGTCGAGCCGGGCCAGCGGAAGCTGCGCCTGGAGCGGATCTTTCTGCTCATGGGCCGCTACCTTCAGGAGGCATCGCCCCAACTCGCCCATGCTGTGGTGGTCAAAACCATTATTTTTGGGGTAGGTGCAGGTTTGGTTTGCAGGAAAACCAACGGGAAAAACCGCCCAAGTCTTGGGGTACTCCAATTTTGGGTCAAAGCCGTTAAACGGGATCCCATTTTGGTTGGGATTGGTGAATTCACCACCCATGTTAGAAGCTATTTTACTGGGGGTTGGGATGGTTACTGGGGGTACAATTTGGCTATTGACCCATTTCGCCCATGTGAGCCACAACCAAAACCGATTCGGGTAGATGGTCCGGTTAGTAAGGGACCATCCCCACAATAAATAGCAGTGGATATCCGCCTTCGTACTTCTTTACATGGTTCTGGGTAGACCATTGTAATACCGGGTCTTGATTATGACTCATGTCGTGTGTGTTATGCCCAAAGCACATTTGGGGCCAATTTGGGGTATGTGTGTTGGCGAACCAGGTATGCAAATCCGGTGGATTGGAGTTGCGCAAGTTAGTGGTATGGGTTTGGATGCCTATAGCTCCCGCTGCTGATGTCAGTGTGTTTCCCATGCGTGTGGTGTTTCACTTTGAGTTTATTCTTTGCTGCGACATTGTTCCTTGCTATGTGCATCCGTTCGTCAAGTGATTAAAGGTGTCCCTTGTCAGGTTTGATTCAGCTGCAAAGGCATTGTCACAGGATGATACATCACATGAGCGGTTGTGCCCGGACATGCCCGGACATATGTTTGGAAGGCAAAAGCCATCTTTGAAATCAATTGGAAGCATGAGTGTGCTTGGCTGAACATTTCGTCTTCACGCACCACACATGTTTTTGTTGTTTGTTTACCGTGCATATTGGCCTGAAGTGTACACGTTTCGGTCAATATTGCACACGCTCACTCACTTTTGAATTCGTTCTGGTTGTTTTCGGTTACTCATTGACTTATTTAGTCTTCATCCTTCTTGCCCCGCTCTTGCACGATTGAACGGAAGGCAGCCTCAACTGGCAAGTGCGGGAGCAACAAACAGTGGGCCCCGGCTCTTGGCCAAACCAGGTCCTCTTTGCAGACTCTTTTGGGCGGTCGGGCCGGCTATGCCCATCAAACGGCTGGGCCCTAGGTCGGCTTTCCGGACGCTGATCGGTGCACCCTTCGCTTGAAGCGGGTTGTCTGGTGGACAAATCTCTTCTTTGTGTCCGCCAGGCCTGAAGTTTGCCAAGGTCGGAACATGTTGGCAGCGGATTTGCTTGGTGCTGTCATATTCGTTCGTAACTCTTGCCTGGCAGTCCAGGCAAGACCAGACAGGTTGTTAGTGTCAGAGCTGGATTAGTCGGCATTTTTGTGGGGGTGGAAGACAGCTTGATTTTCAGTTTGGTGCTGAGCAGTTGATCATCATCTTTGAGGATCAACTCTAGAGCTTTACCAACACAGGGTCCACAATCTATCCCTGAAAGCAGCGCTCATTGTGAGTTCTGGAGTGGTCAAAAGAAGCAAGGTTTCCCATAAGTGGGTTTCTCAAAAATTGGGCCCTTTGGTTGGCATCTAAAGGAAGGCTAAAAGGAAGCCTCATGCTTTTTTGGGGGGGCCCGGGGGCACCACTGTTTTGCAATGCCCGGATGCCATCCGTCTCATTTGTACGCCTCTCGACGAGACTCGCGAGGTGAAAGAGGCGCCGGCGGGCTCCATCGTGGCCTGCGCACTGTCGGGGGAAAGCTCCGAGCTGAGCGCCTTTGATAACGCCTTCACCGGGGGGGGTGGGGTGGGGTGGGGTGGGGTGGGGTGGGGTGGGGTGGGGTGGGGTGGGGTGGGGTGGGGTGGGGTGGGGTGGGGTGGGGTGGGGTGGGGTGGGGTGGGGTGGGGTCAGGGGGAAGCCAAAAGGGTTCCTTGTGCGGTTTTGGGTCTGGTTAGAAGGTGTGTTCATTGGAAGCCAAAGCGCAAGAGGGAGGTGTCTTTGTTCTCCACGGGTGTGAAGGGTTTTGTTAGGAGGTGAGTTCATTAGAAGTTCTAACAGCAGATATGTGGAAGGGTTTCTTGTTCGGTTTTGGGTTAGGCGTTCATTAGAAGTCCCAGAGCCAGGGGGAGACCACTTTTTGTGGCCGAAACGGGTTGAGCGTTTCGCCCCTCGTCTTCTGTTGGGGAAATGGTTGGTAAAACGCTTGAGGCCCCCGCCGAGACGGCAAAGACGGAGACGGCAAGTACCCAGTTGTTTGCTTCATCAACTGGAGAGAGGTCCAAAAAATAAACAAACGGTGCGGAAACACAAGAGGCTGTGTGTATATATATATATATATATTTGTATGGCTCTAGCAGAGCCAACGCGCAGGAACATTGCTGGAAGTGTAAGTGGCTGTCGCTGGGTGTAGCTGAGGGTCCGATCTGCTTTCCTTATCAGACCGTCGCTTTGGTTATCAACAGTGCAGGGTACGGTGTGTCCATCCGTGCACGGAAAGCGTATTGCACGAGAACCAACTGGGGGATTTTAAAACATCCAATCTGTTTCCGTGAAGAAGGCCTTGTTGAAGTTCAACGACATCAAGATTTCCTATCCCAGTTTCTTTTCTCGATAGCAGATCCGGTCTTGCTAACGTGTTCGGGGAAACGATGCCAGGAAGTGTGTTGGCTTGAGATGCTTAACCCATCTCCCTGACATGTGCACACGAGTGTATGCCTTGAGCCAGGAGTTGCCAGCAAGCCGGCGATCAACAACTCAATGACAGAGAACAACTTTGGGTTGTTTGGCGTTTTGCGCATGCCACAACTTGTGGAACCAAGATCATAGTCGCGCATAGTTGGCTCCATGGCTTGTGTGGGTGAAGGCTTGAATCACAACTGGTCAGTTGTTCAAGGCACCATGGTTTTATTCAGTGTAAGGAACACAAGCTCATTTTTTGTTGGAACTTGTTAGACCTGGCTATCATCTAAGCCGAGGGAGAGGAATTTTGCGGCTGCAAAGATCGCCCACACTGGTCGGTATGAATTGTGGGCGTGTCTTTTTCTAAGGAAACTATTTTTGGTTGCTTTTCAAGGGGAAAGCACTAAGGACACTCACCGGTTGTTGCCGACAAAGGCAAGCAAGAGACATATCACCAAGCATTTTGGCAAGGTTTACTTCACGTTCTCAACATTGTAGCGGTTGATTCCTTATTTTCAGCCATCGTTCTTTTCAAAAACCAGCCACTTCCCCAGGGTTTTTGGGTGGTTTTCCAGAAAGAAGGATCCCTGTAATGGGGAAGCTACCCCTAGAATTGGGCTCCAGATCCCAATAAGAAACCGAAAAATAAGGGTGGCTCAAATCAAACTGGACTCACGGAGGTAGTCTTTGTTTCCAGATACCAAGTGGTGGCATTTTGGGTACATGTTTGTTGAGCCACTGAAAAAAACAACTAGATCAACCGCCGCCGGTTTTGGCCGTGTCTCGTCGAGGTGTGGAGAGATGCCTCACGCTCTGCGAGGAGCCCGAGGGCCCGTGCTTTGAGACGCCCTACAGCAGCCAGGCGAGGCCTTCGGAGTGGGTCCAGCTGGAGGTTTTCTGATTTGGAGCGCTACTTAAACTTTCCTGTCGATTTGGAGCGCAACCTTCTTGCTTGGTATTTCGAATTTAAACGGAGAAAAGGATGGCTTCAATTTTAGAGGCCCTTTTTGCCCCTCGGAATTGGAAGCCTTCCATTTTGTGGACCCCTAGTTCCCTGTTTTGGGAACCACCCATTTGTTGCTTGAGCCGCTTTGGAATCCTTTGGCTTCGCCATCGTCTGTCAGGCCTTCGCCATTGTCCGCGTGAGCATCGAGCCAGAAGATGTGGCTCACCTCAAGGCACGGCAGATCTATCGCGCTCCCAGCCCTCCAGAGGTGCCCCCCGTTTTCTCCTGCCCCCCCCCCCCGCCCCCAGTTTTCTCGTCCCCGTTTGCCTTTTGTGGCTATGTTTATTTGGATCTTGGCACTTCACTTTTTGGTTGCAACCCGAAATGTTCCATTCAACCCACAAAAAGTGTCAAAGTCTTTGCAGAGGGAGTTGTTGTTTGTTTTGTTGGGGTTTGAAACCCCGTGGCCGTATACAGCCCCATGGCTACCAAACAAAAGTTACCCTTTCCCCCGTGTCCAGAAGTCCGGGAATATAGGTCACTGCTAGCCTGATCAATGCTGGCTACCAGGCATTGCGACGAGAATTATGTTTGTGTATCTGTGTGTTTGTTTGTTTTTTGGGGAACCAAGAGAAAACCACATTTCAGGACCCACAACAGGGTGGTTGTGTGATCAGGCAGCATGACACATTTGGTGCTTGTGCGGGTGCTGATCACGACAACTGAGATATGTGCCGTGAGTCACTTTGACCTACAAGCGTATGATTGTTGGTTGTCTTCATTTGATTGCAGGGGAATTATTCGTGCAAGCCACCAGTTTGCATCAGGAGCACCTAGATGGTTCATGACCGAGTTCTGACTAAAGCGACCATCCGTGCAGTTGCAGGGTAGCTTGAACTACAACATTCATGAAGCTGGGCAAGATGCGGCGACCTCGCTGATCTTGCTTTGGCGACCTCGCAGATCTTGCCTTGGCATGACTTACCAAGATAAACTTAGGTGTGTATCTTCCACTGGCACGCGCTGATTTCAGGGCTGGTGAGCAATTTGGACTCATTGTTGCAGACGATGGTCAGATGCATACAAACTTATCCAGATGACCCATCTCAACAGGTGGAACAACATTTTGAACCAGCTCACTGCGCACTGGTTCTTTTCGGGGACTAGGAAGGAAACCGCCAATGTTGGGTGGTTACGGGCAACAGAGCTAGTTTGCTAGTTGGAATCCAGGGTAATGGAAAAACATGGGAACAACTACTACTTGTGCACACACCTTCGCACCTGGGATGGATAAAGGGTACCAAGCCACCGACCCCCCTGGTGCCATCTACTCCGAGTCCCCGTGGATTTTGGCGCGTCGGCGCGCCGCGAGGCTCTGGAGCGAGGCCTGCGGCTCTTGCACCGCGCGGATCCTTCTGTGAGTGTGGAGGCGAACGCGGAGTGGCACCTGGCGCACGAAGTCCCGACGCCTTCCAATGGTTGTGGTTCGTTGTTGTGAGAGTGGCGGGAATGTTCCGGACGGATCCTGACGGACATGAGTTGTTCGAAGCATCGATCGACTTTTGGCCTTTTGGCCGTTGAGTATTCTCGCATTGCCAGAACTCAGACTGCACCTCAGGATTGAGGTGGAGGATAGAAAGACAAAGTATGACAAATGCAAACAGCACCGTGGAATACCGTGGATTCACGAGAATGGAGCCTTTCCGGCGGCCTTCAAAATCGGCGGACGTTTGAAAGACATGTGAGCCCGCTGGCTTGCAGAGCTTCTGTGAAGTGAACCTTCGTCAGACTAAGATCGTATTGTCTTATTTTCAGTTTGCACTCCGCCAGCTTGCCGACACGAAAGTATTCAGCAATAGCGATCTTTCAACACATCTCGTGGGGACACCCAGGCAATTATCATTCAGGGGCGCCATGTTTTTTTGTTTTGTTTAATTCCTCTCATAGCTTTGGGGAGACTCGTTTGAAAGTACCAGGTTGTGATTGTGACTTACTGAGGCTACAACCCTTGGAACCTTAGCTATATCTGCGTACTTGGGTTTAATCATAGGTGTCCTTTTTGGACGTGTTGCTCGAAAAATAGATGGGTTTCGATTCCTGGTTTACCTGGTGGTTCAATTATCTACCAGGGATATCCATCTTTTTCCCCTAGGACACCTACTGTGGATGGACTTAATCCTGCACCACCTAAGAAACCATGGCATGCTGATTCCCCTGTAAATACCCACCAACAATGGTTTCCCATTATTTCCAAGTGGTGCAGGATTTTGTCCATCCACAGTTTTTCTTGTTTTTGTTTCTTTTTGTCCCATTAACGGCCTTCTGCAGGCCATGGTCAGTGGGGAGAACGTCTTGGGCTGCTGCGGGGACGTGCACTTGAAGCGGTGCCTCAACGACTTGGAGGCGGGTCAGTCTCAAGGAACCCGCAGGGCCCATGGGGGGGGGGGGGGCTCCTTAAAAGATCTCCATGTTGCATTTCCACTTGAAACATGTGGCTTTTTCCACACCAAAATAAAGTTGGACACCACCATTTACAAGGCAATGGTCAGGTGTTTTTCATGTAAGGATCCCTGTTGCCAGAACAATCAACTGAACTACTAGTACTGCAAGGGTTTTAGAGGAATTTATGCACTTTGCGCGGGATAAACCTTTCGAGGCGGAGGCCAGAGTCAACACGCGCTGCTCGTGTTTGGAAGGTCAAGTCTGTGAGGAGCCAGCAAAAGCCTTGGCTGGGGCGGTGTGGCCAGGGGTGTTTTGAATGAGTTCAAGTGGCGGTGGTCAAACATGGCCCCTTGGACCCTTGTGCCACCCCTTTCAAAGGGGATACCGAGAAGGGGGCCCCCCAAGTCGGCATGTGAAGTTGTTCATCGGGCATCGGAACAGAAGCTCTACGCGCGCAACATCAAGCTTTGCATCACGCCTCCCCTGGTGGCGGTGCGAGAGTCCATTGCCAAGTCAGTAGACAAGGCCGACCTCAAGGCGGGAGACGTTTCTGTGGTTTTGGGCGAGTTTTCTTGTCAGAATTTCATATAGCCACAGGGAAATAATAGTGTCGGGGAGAATTCATTTAACCACTAAACCGTTTCAACTTTGATACTCTTTTGACATCTTTCAACAGGTGTCCGGATTTTTGTCGAAAGGTTTAAGCATTGGCAGCTGGACGCATTCAGTGCAATTGAACCGCTGAAACAGATCAATTGACCGAGACAACCCTGAGCCATATATAGTTATATGTTTGTTGGTGGAATCGTGGGTTGATTCTATGGATATGGGGTATAGCAGGGGCATATACTGTGTGATTGTGTACATTGGGCACGAATTTAGGGGCACGTAATCATTTCCCTCGACAGGAGGGGTGGATGATGCTGGCAAGACCCGGAGTTAGATGACAAGCAGGGTCCGCACTGTGGAGAATCTGGTGAGTTTAATTGAGCCACAATCAAAATCGATTCGGGTAGATGAAGGTTAGTAAGGGACAGTCCCAACCATATATAGCTGCGGCCGCCTTCTTAATTCTTTACATGGTTCTGGGTCGACCATGTTGATACCGGGTTTGATTGTGGCTCAATTGGAATTGTGTTGGGGTTGAAACGAACCTGCATGATGGCTTTGTATGCTAGCATTTGCCGAAAGTGGGCCATGAATCGGGAACTGATTCATCCGGGGGAAACACAATACACATGGTAACAAAGTTGCGCGAGGATCTTGCAAGAACATGAGACACACAATCCACAGCTTATCTTGGCGAACAAGTCAGAGCCAGGCATGCCTTGCCGGCTTCAATGCGCTCTTGGAATTGGACATGTGCACATCAGTTCTGTTTGCATCCCGCTAGTGAGAACTTGCAGCGAATTCAGCTACGCTTGCCATTCCACTTCTGGTTCTGAATGAATGCTATGGACTGGGGGGGGGTGCTATCATAAAGTGCCCCTGAACATGATGTGTTTTGCCTTTTTCAAAGCCACCCAACAGTTCGGAGACCCTAAACGGCTTCTAACAAATGGGTTTCGGCTTGCACAGGACAATCACCCTACCCATTTGTCAGAACCCATGGGGTCATTCAAAAGCGTGTCGCAGGCCGCCTCGTTGTTCCTGCCGATTTGGATGTCTCACTTGCACGACGCTTCAACCGAGGCCATTTTTTGGGAGAGATGGTGGGTATAAGCGATCCCCAATGGTCAGGGAATCCTCAAGTGCTGGGTTTTCATTGGTTAAGGAGTTTGCACCCCGGTTTTTGTAGAGGGAAATTTGGAAGACTCTCCCTCTCCAAGCCACCAAACCAAGCCACCAACAAGAGGGAGGCTGAACTATGGCTATGGACATGGATTTAAAATGGGAGCACTCTCAACATGCTTGGTGGACATGAATCCTCGATATAAACTGCCCACGAAAAGGTCCAATTGCAATTTATACCCATGTGAGGGTGAAGGGCGTAAAAGGACCTTCATTATCTCCCCTTCGTTAGAGGGAAATGATGATCATGTGGGGGCGGGGCATGTTTTTCTAGTTCGCTGTGGGGAGTAGACCGAGAGGGGAGGCTTTCTGTCCCCTGCGCTTTCTGCGTGGGTTTACTCGTGTGTCCTCTTTGAAGCCATCCACCACGGTCCAAATCTTGTGAAATACCCATCAGAAGACCCGGTGCGCTCCCAGTTCCCAGACGACCCGCAGCGCAAGACCCGTCGGTTCAGCTCCCAGAAGACCCATGTGGTGGAGACGTGGCTCGCTCGCGATCCCTTTCAAAACGCCGGATGCTGGTGATTCTGCACTGGGCATGCTTCGACTTGAGCATGTCGTTTTACAGCTTGACATGAGTTTCAGCAAAATACTCCACACTTTACAGCTTGACATTCGCATGCTCGACATTAGCGCTTGAGCCATTGGTTTTTGCTGGACACGCTTTTCGGGGAGAGTTTCAAAGTTGTTTCTTGTTGCCCAGAGTGCTTGACACATGCATTTCCATTTTTCTGAAGTGACGGGAGTCTCCAACGACTTCGCCAGAAAGCTCCACGCACGTTATCAATTGTTTCCGTTTCCGCCAATGGAGTCTCCACTATTTGTCCGAATATTTGGTGCTGGCAGCTGGTGTGTCATTCTGTTACCTGAAACACGCCAACCGACACCTCTGCTTTGCCTGTGATTCTGTGACCTGAGGTGCATGTTTCTCCTTCTTTCGTTTGGTTCCTTACGTTCCTTTTCCCATGTTCGTCTTTTTCGCTTGGTCCTTCTTTCCGTTCTTTCTTTCCCTTCTTTACTTTGTTCCTCCCCCCCTTCCTGCACATGGCGTTTGCCGCAACAGGATACCCAGCCCTCATGCAGCAAATTGGGACATGTTGTTTGTGTTGATTTTCCCCCAGACTCAAAGGGCGCTTGAAAGAGTCCTGAAAGGTGCTTTGCCATTGATTGCGTGAGGTTTGGATGTGTTCTAATCTCTTTTGGGATGGCCACAATAACCCTTGTTTGTTGTTGTTTTCAGGATGCTTAAGGTGTTTAGTTGGATAGGTTCAACTGCCACGTCAGGCGGGCTCCATGATGTCGGTGCCCTCGGACGATGACACCATCACCTCCGAGGCGGTACAAGTGGAGCGCTGGAATAT